CATCCATCCATCCATCCATCCATCCACCCACCCACCCATCCATCCATTCATCCATCCTAATTTTAGTTTCCTATTTTTTTTTCAGGCTTTATTTCCAAAGAATGTTCCGATCTTGAGTACTTCCGTTGTCCTGAAGGCAAAGATGCCATAAAGCTATGCAATATCTTGGCCGAGTATGCCATACCCCTATATATCATTGGCATTGACCATGCCGGGGTCCAAGCATGTGCGAGAGGCACACCCCATGCGACAGAAGAAAACCCTTTTCTTTCTGGAATTACATTCATTGGAGGTGGTCAGTATTTCCAAGTCAGTGATGTGAATCATGTCGAACAGGTAAGTACAAACCTATTTCAAAAATATTGTCAGATACAAAGGGGATAGGCATTAGGAGATGAGCAAATTGTGTAGTTCCAGAAATTATCCATACCCCAACCCCAACCCTCCCCCTCCTAAGTGGAATTTCCAAGTGGTAGGGGGGTCAGAGAAGGAACAATCTCTTATGGCATAAATCCTTTAGCTTCAACAACCTATTTTAAAATAGCTACATAACCTTTCATGCAGACAGCCTTATAGAGTTATCACATCTAAACATAAAGTCAAATTGCAGTAATGATTGAACTGTCTATTTCAAAGTATATTCTGTATAGAAATATAGTCACAACAGATGGTTAGTTTTGGCTGAGGGGGATTGGTTATGAGGCTAATATCCCCAGGGGAAGGGGCTCACATAACCCATTCCCCTTGGCCAAACTAACCAAAACACACCAGCAACATGGCCAGGCGGATAGTGTCCAAGTGTACTAAATCAATAAAATTAGGTCTCTATTTTGGACCATTTATTTTGGACCATTTATTTTGGACCATTTATTTTGGGCCATTTATTTTGAACCATTTATTTTAGACCATTTATTTTGACCTTGCTGCTTAATTACAATGTAACTGACCATTCATTCTTGAAATTTTCAGGCAATCAATTGCATAATTAAAGAAAACATGTCAATAGAAGAACACATGGGGACAGTCAACGACATTGTCATTATTGAAAGAAACAAAGAGGGTGGTAATTTGAATGTTGAGCACCTCGCAGAACACCTTCGAGAAAATCTGAACCTAAGATCTTGTACAGTTGACAACATAAAGCTCAATAACGAATCACCACAGGCTATTTCACAGATAGTGCAAAGAGTGGCTTGGGC